CTGGCCCGTCTTTACTTGGTATGATGCAAACGTGGAGATATCATCTGGTGAAGTAGAAGAAATTTTGGCATAAAGCTTGTTATGGACGAATACTCTCGGATGCAGCTCATGCCCAAAACGTTTCTCACGACTGTACACGAATTGAACGCCGACTATAATTTTGACCCTGGACGTGGCGGCGCGGATATCTGTGAGTGTTTTCGGTGGCCGCTGATAGAGGTCCTCGATGTCTACACGAGAGGTAGGAAGATCTGAGTTTGTGTGTGTATGACCGCTGATAAAATTGCATTAGATTGAATACCTTTACATGGCACCGCATCCGAATCGACATCAGTCACGTCGAACAGCAGGTATCAGACCTGGAGCGTAAAGATCATCTCTCTGCTGGAGAATGCACCAGAGGGAGAACATGCTGGCGAAGCATCGATCACGAAAGAGTTCGCTAACGCTGTGCAAACCACAGAACGAAAGTCGAAACATGATTCACGGGAGTTCATCATAATGTTCATTTCTATCAATGCTATTCTGCTATTCTTCGTCGTTCAAACCTACATATAATAAACACGGATTCTGATTTCTTCTTTCATTTTCATTCACGATGATACCTCGCAAGGCTGGCAATACGCACCGGCCTGATACACCCGTGAATACAGACAGCTTCATCAGTAGGAATTGTGAACCTGAAGTCTGTAGTATCATGTATGTATCTCCAGTCGCTCTAGAATCATAACACTTGCGGTTTCCAGTCGGAAAACGGGCCACAAAACAAGACATAACATTCGGCTTTCGACTATAAACCTAAATATTTCGTACACAGTGCCTATTCCACTCTGCAGGTACTCCTTCAAGAATTAATAGCATTGGTCATGAACTGCGCCTCGGTCATGTCAGCAGTCGGATTGATAGCTAGGGTCATGCCCAAGCGGCAGTGAGCTCCACCAGCTTGCATGCACGAGACCCAGTGAGGCTCGGTATCGAGGATCGTGGTAGTGAACGTGCTACCCGGCGAGCTGACAGAGTCATGGCTACCGAACAATATCAACTTATGCCTTGACATTAGATGAAAGAAAGGCAACCTACAATCCGCTATCGAACGCGTTTGGTCCTACTCCGCCCGGGGGAGGAGGGCAGGGAGAGGTGAACGTCGTAGTCGTAGCAGAATCTATAGACGGGTAAGAGGGCGGAGAAGGGAAGGAAAGAGTTGGATACGCACGGTTCCTGGTGAGGTAGGTGAAGGTAACGGTATCCCCGATGGCGGGGTGGATTTCGTTCGGAGTGAACGTGAATCCGTTACTGGCGCCTACTTCGACGGTCCAGTCCACGCCCATGACGAAGGGTGCGGCGATGAGAACGGCAGAGACGATTGAGAGAAGACGCATTGTTGTGGAGATTCAGGTCTGGGTTGTTGAAATTTTGAAATTTTCGCGCTGGTTAAATACTCTGACAGTGCTGCATGTACCGGTGCAATGGTTTCGATCCTGGAAATTTAGACATGCGCTCGTTGTCACCAGACACCAACAGAGGACGCCATGTCAATGGCTAGTGAGCGTATATCGATGGCCTTCGTGAGTAGCGACCCGATAGGCGGGATGGAACTGTTCTTGAGTAATGAAATTAGCAGATTTAAATGGGAATCGGGGTCTCACACCATCAAGGGTTCCTAGTCTCAGGTCCCCGGTGGTGGGAGTATCCTCCGAAAATGCCTCATCGACCCAGAATGCCGGGTTTCACGTGTGTCCAGACATCATTCGTGGCAGAAAAATGCGCGCTTTGTGCGCTTTTCCTGATGATAGAAGCTGAGCCATTAACCATAGCGGGCGAAGCGAAACCTACATAAACGTTGGACGCCGGATCCGAGACCTAATTATGGCCACTTTGGCTTGGCTGACGGGATAATAACGATTGATTGCAAAGGAATAGTACCTTCGAATTGTGGACGGCCGAAAACACCGGCGGTATATCGACGAGTCATCCACCATGACTTGACACAGATATTTTGCGAGGAGCGCAGCAATGCTATATTCCGGTGAGAGATTTCACATCGATATTAGTGGTATACCTTTCTGTTACGGGTTCGAGAGCGCACATTTCCACAGGCTGGTGAGAAATTCACATAGTTGAAATATGTGAGATCAATGGGATCGACACGTGAGTAGTTCGGGATGCAAGAACACTAGCCACCGAGATGCAAATTTGCGGAGTGGCATACCAGGCGGAAATCTGAGAGGGGTCATTTTCGTTCAGCAATCATAAATTGCGTTCAACGCCCGAACGGGGGCTTGTAGGACTACGGAGGAGGCCTAAGAAAGGAAACGAAGAGCGGCCTACAAAATATGGAAAATGACTCACCGAACCCCGCGCTCTTCGGTCAGCCAATACAATAATGACTCCGGTCCTTGAGAATAGGTACGTGTCTCCACATTCTCGATGACTTGAGACTTCATCTAAAAATGCTTACGAGGCTGAAGTAGGGGCCTCTAGTCCTGGAAAATGACTTCATCATGTAAAGATAGCTCGCCATGATGGATATTCGGGTCGTGGACCCTCCCACAACGATGGCTGACCGTCCTCGCTACGGGACCGAGGGTTGGGTTCATAGGACCTTGCGCTAGATTTTGAACACAGTTAGAAAAGAAGAATTACGCAGTTACACAACACTGACCAGTTCTCTACAGGGCGATGCTTCAGCCGCATCTAAGGACCGAAATGAGATTACGCGGCGAACAATGCTTTCTCCAGTGATATTTATCACACGGCAACTTCTCATCTCCAGGAAACTGTGAACATGAATACGCAGGTGAATCTGGTTATAATCAGACTTGAGAGTCAGATAATTGTTTGCTGAAAGACAGACTAGTCGAATCTGATGTTATCTCCTCGTTTTAAGGTCAATCATGGTGGAGCTGCAACCATGTCGTCTAGGATTTGTCTGCCCGCACGCCTTCGTACGCTGGAGCTAGAGGAGGACGTCGTACCCATAGCAAGGGCCGAGGTCGCTTACGTCCGCCATCGAGCAAACTAGAGAGGTGGCTAAAGTGTCCTGGCAGGAGAAGGACGTTATGGGTTCGTCTCCCTCATAGCAAAAGGGACGTAGCACGGGCATCCCACCTGAATACATCTTTTCACCGTTGTTCACCATACGGTTGAAGGCGACGCATACGGAACGAGTACAACGACAATGTCACAAAAAAATTCTGCTTCTCGCTTAGGATGCACATCTTGACATTTTTAAAAAAGGCGTCTGGATTGCGTCTGGATTATAAGGGTAGTGGAACTGGTGCCCTACTCGCACAACAGATGCTTGGGGCTCTTCTACTTCTGACACCTATCAAGTTCATGAGGATTGCACGACCACGCCTTAAGCAATACTTTTGCTAACCGTTGTTGAAAATATCCGGCAGATTCTTCATCTTAAGAACGCAGTTGAGCGTCAACCCTCCTCGCCGTGGTCTCTTCCGCCGGTGGGCTTTTCTCGCCTCTCGTCCCCCTGCCATTACCAGTTGGAATTTTTGGACAAATTTGTTAAAAGTTCGATGCCGTCAAGCTTCATCCCGGTGAGTGGGATTTTCCTACATAGCATGTTCGTCAAAGTGCAAGTGAAGGTTAGATATGCTCACCTTCAAGCTTGAGGGGCTGCGTAAAAATCCGTTGCATCGGACACGGTGGGTAAGCAGGCTTTGAAGGAACGCGGAGACATCGGACCGATCCAAGATGACGCGCCTGTGGCGTGGGAATCATAAGGACCCTGTCCTTTAGGGCTGGTTCCGGAAACGTTCGACGACGAGCTTCACGAACTAATGATGCACTGTCTTCCGTGTATCCAAAATCCTGGGTATCTAATCCTCTTTCTCCTCTATGCTCCATTTCTCACCTTTAAATCTGTTGTTAGGATGTCATAAAACCGTATGTTTATTCATATTTCTACCTTTCTTTCGTCTCATCCGTATCCAACTCAGCTTGGGCAGAGAGAAGACACCGTGAATCGATTGAGCGATTGATTTTGAATAAGGATCTTGTTGATGGTGCAGGTGTGTCCATTTTCGTCGCTGTACGTATGGCGCTCACGTCGTCTGCAGGCTTGTGGGCATTTGCTTGACAACGATGAGCGAGCTATGAAAGCCCCATACCCTTACTATGTGTTTCGCGAAGGACCCTGCCTATCACTCCGCAAATCATAGTGGTACAGGCTTGATTTTTTCCACGAAACTGTTGAGTCAATGCTCTCCAGGTCTCCTGTAAAATCCTACGCAGTCAGCGCACCACCTCAGGTGGACAGAGTCTCCTGGTGCGACCGATGTCTGCATGTATCCCCTATATTCTCATTGAAATCGCTCTTTGCATACGTGCCGATGGAATATATGCCCGCCCCCAACCACCGGCAGGTTGTCTCTGAATATAGACTGGCCTCCTCTACCTATATAAGCGGACGATGGCCTCGCTCTCAAACTCGCGTTCGTACCTTTCTGGTCCTTGATCGAGCCGTTGAACTTTTACTCTTCGCATACATGCAGCCTTGACCCTACGTGCTATGCTCCGGTGCCAGTACAAATGTTTCTCCATTCCTGTTAATACCACGATTAGGTAACTGGGATGTTTTTCCATCTCCTCTGCTACCGCTTTCATGTGCACCATATCATGACGAGGTTTGTGCCACGTCCGAATACGTGATTATTCGGATCTATTTGAGTAGGACTGGATACTGGATACTGGTCCTCGCTAGTCGCTAGTGTGTCACCCACCTTCTGGAGGTACACTGTTCGTAGTGTATTGACCACTGTACATTTAATTTAGCCTCGTTCTTCTTATCCATGCTCGAACTTAGTGCCCATTTGATTATTTCATAATGTCAGGGATCAGGAAGCAGTAGCTTCTTAGAGACATTACAACAAGCCTCGATTCTTGCAAAATTGGGAATTATGATTTATCCCGATTCTGGAATCTGATCATTGATGCGCTCGCAGTGAGAAAAACCGAAAAACTGAAATACAATAAGTAAGTTGCTCTCTGGCTGGGAGTCGAACCCAGCTTTCGCGCGGACGTTAGCCTCATCCTATACGAATATGGATGACAGGCGCGTGTACTAACCGATATACTACCAGAGAATTATAGGAATTGTGAATGATGTATCCAAATCATTGCTAATTAAGTTATGTCAACCAAATGGCATCCATCCGCCGTCAATCGCCCTTAACACAATAATGTCCTTCATAGACGAGACTCCCTTGAAGCATCGCTGTTCTCACTCGGACAGCGACGTCGGACGCTCCATCTATCGCCACACTGAGAAAGTGACGCGATTTTCGAATTCAGTCCTTTACGTGTTCTGCGAGTTTTCTCCCCTTGATATCGAGGGACATGTATTCGTATACGGTGAAGGCAGTTTGGACATGCAGGAAGGGCTCTCTCGCGTACTGGGAGAATGGTCGGTACGTGAAGCTCTAAATGTACCAACATTAGAGCTCATCCACGCCACTAGACTGCTATATACCCATTCCATTCTCTACCAAAGGCGATTTCCCGATATCTCCCTGCCGTTCATTTCCCAATCACGATCTTCTCGCACCTGCGACAGTAACTTTGGACGTTCTATCAGCACTAGCAGAGCTTGGACAGCAACGCGAGTCTCGACTTGGAGATGTCAGCCCCTTGGCGTGTTTTGTGAATTTTTCGTGGTATCTCACGGCGAAACGGAGGAGCGTGGATTCGTACGCGAAGGATGTGCAGAAAGGAGTGTGATGTGTACTAGTTGAATGGTACAAGGTACGTGAAGCTCTATCTGTACCAAGATTAGAGCTCATTCACACCGCCAGACCATTTCTGACTGCGGTCACTTCTTTTGGCGCGTTTTCGTCATCTGCTGTGTGGATTTAGACGGCCAGCACATGGGTGCCGCAGTGACGGTGGGCGAGCACAGGCGACGATCCCATGAGTAGGATGGACTGGTCTTCGAGCGGCTGTCAAGCGATGGCAGGGCAGCCCAAGGACATACACTGGACACCGCTACGGGTGCAGGACACCTCCTTGTCCAACGACCTCACCATTCATGTCAGCCATCGTCGTCCCTATAGACAGGCCGCGTGCAGCTTCGAATCTGAGGACAATATGAACGCCAGGGCAGTCTTTGTCGCTGTGTTCTGCATGCCTTTCTCAGTACCATCAGATCACGACAAGTTCATGCGGTTCTATACCAGAGGCTGTTTCCAAGACCCTTTATCAAGCTTTCGCTCTCACCCAACCACATCTCCGACAGCGAATCGCAGACCGTCACTCTGATTTGGCTCATTTCCGTACAGTGATAGACCGCTGTAGCGATGGTCAGCGCTGGGGTCATACTTCGGGGTGGCATGAATTTACAAATGCCTATCAAGCGACGTGACATAGTCCAACATCTCGCGATGGAAGTGACCGTGGAACCATCGAGTTGCGTTCACCATCAAACACTACGTTTTCATTTGGCTCGTCGCCAACCGCATATATGCTGCTCCTAGTCCTCAGCGTGATGCGTGGCTACATCTAGACCGTCGTTTGTGACTCCCGGCTTGGTTCTAAACGCAGGCGCGCAGTTTCGAAGTGAGTCTCTCTATTATACCGCATCTTCTTAATACTAAGGACTTGATCCTTCCGTAGATGCTCCCGCTTCGTATACGTTCGTCAGAATCAGAGACATCATATGAGTTAGACATGAAGGGAACGAACCGTGGGCTGAGGCCATTACAGTAAGTTCTATCACCTTGTCGTCCTGAAATGTACTAACTTAAGATTCAAAGGTACTGCCTTGCTGTCAAATCAGGAAGAATCAAAGACAAACCTAAACTCATCGATTCATCATAGTCACCAATATCTCAACCGCGACGTTCATTCATATTGCCTCTTGTTCTTGTCGGAATATTCCAGCCCGTCCAAAGAGGGATGGGTTGGTTCGCACAATCAGGGCTGTGTAGGCCTCTTGTCTCGCACAAGAGTTCTGATGTACGGCACTATCTCTTGCGCGGAATGCAGGGCAACGAGCCCACATGATGACGCCCGCAAGGAGCGCATCGAAACACTCCGATATGTTTCCTCCCTCAGCCTTCCGCCACCTCCGAAATCTGAAAGCTCTGGATATCGACCTTTCTCTCTATCCATGTTCGCTTTGGGATGATATGACGATGTATTCCCTTTTGTGATGGACACAGCTGCTCCCATGCATCCCGGATATACAAAGTCCGTGATAGAAAGTCAACCGTGTGTTCATGATGCTCTGCCATACGAGGTCGCGGACGGATGTCTCATCTCCGGACTTAGTCATGATCAGACTACTACCATTCTATACCAAAGGCGAATTTCCCTCTCACCTATACAGGATAGTCATAGCTGCATGTCCTGAAAGAGACATCATCACCAAGTAATAACCGTGGAATATGAAATTGACATCCATGGATGGCACACTACTCGCTCGTCGTCCATTGGTCCCCCCTTTCATTTATCCTATCCGTCGTTTGTTCGTAGCATGAGAGCGAAGACTACATCTAGACCCCTGTTTATGTCTTTCCGCTCGCGATGGTGAACTTCCCTTCTCTATGAATGGACGCCACCGTGTCTGCGCCGTAGATGTCCATCAGAATAGATATGAAGGGGAAAACGTGTGCTCACCTTACAGTAAGCTCTATCATCACGTCGACTGGCATGAAATGCACTAACCTTAGCATTAAAAGACACCGCCCCGCTCACAATCAAAGAAATCACGGAACCAGAGCCTAACACGTTCAATTCATTCAGACCTTTTCACGCCTCTCTATCCCAACTCACGGCGTTACTTCTCCGGATGTTGCTCCTTGTTCTCATCGGGCTATCCTAACAGTCTCATATCGGTTTTTGCAATCTGCTCGTTGCATCTCATTTCAATGGGCTTTGGGAAAGTACATCTTTAGCTCACAGCGCCGGCTGTTCGCCTTGGAAGAGAAGTGAAGGTACGGCAACCGTGATCAGGAACTGTTCGGTGTCTCTTTCTTCGATGGGGTGGTTCAATTGTGAAGAGAAGTAAACTGGGCAACGCCTTTAATGCCGCGGTATTCATGCGTGTCACGCTCCCATTTGCGGAACAAGGGGACATTGTTGGGACCATCCCGGACTCGGGGAGAACCTCTCGCCTTCGATTTGAGTTCTGCCCTCACCAACAGCTGTAATATCGTACTCCCATAACACCGGTCCGCTTCGAATTCGGATGGCAGGCGAACAGCTCCGAGGCCATTTCCTTTCAATGGTAACTGATAAACTTGGCGGTTGCTCTAACAGGTTGTCTCGACAGTTACGTTCAACGTTCAGCGTCCAACTTTTATTATACACTCAAAATTGCAACTTTTGAGCCTCGTGATTCGCTGTTTAGTCCTCCATGGTCCTTTGTCGCGTTGTCGTCGACTTCTCAATGTAGCGTCGAAAAAACCAGACTTGACTCGATTAGTATCATCACCAGGAATCGAACCCAGTTTCCACTCTGAAGTGCGCCAATACACCAAGAAGGAGATATAATAATCAATCTATTTACTATCGATGCTACGATAGGATTTGCACGCCGGCCTTGGCATCGATTTATATCACTTGTTCCATTTACATCCAGCACTTGCGCATGGGACAATCATCGGGTCGTCTCTCCTGAGCCATCCGATTTGATCAAGGCCCCGCTGAGTCGTTAAAGTCGAGGAAGGGAATGGTTCGCCATAACGTTAAAGACAAATGTCAGTACTGGAGGTCAACCAAGTAGGCCTTCCTCACGTCAAAGTAGCCGCATTTGATATCAGGTTGTCCTACTTGGATGTGAGGTCAAACCCGCTGTTTTATTGTAGGCCCTTTATTGCCACGCCATTTACAGACTGAGTGCGTAGCGCACTTAATGAAGGTCTGGCTGCGTAGTGAGTAGACATCGTATTCAACGTAAGTACAACGTATCAAGAACAGTAATTCGTCGTCTTGGTTCAGAAGTAGGCAAGGTAAGCATCGTAGCGAACTCTATCCTATACAAGGCAAAGTTACGAAGTGAATCAAAATTTGATCAAGTGAGAACTAACCATAAATTCGTTGGTCTGCGGTCTTGGGCACCAAGTTAGTGGACAAAGGGACAAGGAGATTGGGAAACGTACTCGAAAAAAAGTACTTTGGAATGATCGTCGCTGATGGTAAAATTATACGCATGTCCTTCTCCAGGGTTTTTCTGGCTTCTCCCAAGCATTAGACCGCAAAAGATGGAAAACCCCTGGTAGGACCGTTAAGTTCAGAAGAAGGGGAATATGGGCTGTTCAATTAGCTCACATTAGCGCGGCATTTATCTGCTCCCCATCGAGCAACTGCGGCCTTCATAACTGGACAAGAACGTTAGACTTGCGCCATAGAGAATTTAGACCCTTACCTAGCGCAAAATCATCATAGTCAAAAATCTCTTTGCGCCAATTCTTGTTGCGTAGACCCGTACTTTCCCAAATCTCCTGCCAAAGATATCTTGGAAGGATCAAATATCTGGCGCCGGAAAAAGGTCAACAGTTCTTTCGGTGGAAAGGGCAGAGTACACACTCTGCATCGACCTGATAACTCGTATAATACCTGGAGAGCTGAGGATCCCTCCCAATAATGTTCCTAATATCTGCACTCGAAAGGCTCATACGCTGGAAGAACCAGCACTGGTGAGAATGAGTGTTATTGAAGCCGCCTTCCCATCCACAAATCTGGGTGCCCTTGGATGAGTTACTGTGACGAAATACTTCAGCAACGGGACTTTGTGTTGAAGACACAAACGACATACCCGCTGTACAGATCAGCGAAAGCTAGTAGAATGAGCTCAGGGAGAGGACTGAGGAGGTACTGCACACACTTCCCGATGCGTGGTTCTTCATCCTATAACAGAATTCAGTCCTCGGATAGAAAATACTAAAAAAAACGCACTTGTAGCTTTTATTGTCAGCAAAGTGCTTGATGATCCACTCCTGGTTCGTGTTGCCGGTTTTGTGGTAGCCAATGATGGAAGTCCGATTGTCTGACCTGCCTGAAAAAAAAAGGAAATTGCAAGTACTGAATAGATGATAGCGCGCACATTTACCGCAAAACAAATCCATATAAGTCCCTGCGATGAGAC